TAGAATTCTCCAGTGAAACCATCTGGGCCAGGACTTTTTTTAGTTGGTAATTTTTTGATGACCTGTTCAATTTCTTCTTTTGTGATGGGCCTGTTCAAATTTTCCAAAAAAACAAATCTTTATGGAAGCAGACTACTTCATCTTTCTCCCACAGTGGCTGTGGGGTTTGAACTGCACACCTTTTACTTAGCAACTTAATGCTTTAATAAAATATTTAAGCATACTTTTCAAACACTATTTTGTTTATTACTTAGCAATCATAGGAAAATAGACATTAAAAACAAATAAGATGTATATAAATTATATTTCAATAAAATGCATTAAAAAAAGAAATAAAAACCAAATAAGGTAAAAATATTTCAATAGAAGTTTTAATCTTTTCTTCCTACACACAATGCATTGTCTTGCATGTACTCCATTTTGAAAGACACTGATGTACATCAAAAGAACAAATTCTATAGGGTTTTCATGAGAATTAAATACATTACATGAATATATGTAAAGCTCTTAGAACAGTACCAAGAATATAGGAAACACTATGAATGCCAGCTAATTTCACTGCCATCATTATTATCAGTTCCTTTAGACTGGAATGATATTCCTATATCTACTCCCATCCCTGTTTCTACATGTTACATGATTTCAAAAGACAGGTTCAAATGATATCTCTTCTAACAGTTACTGGAATTCATCTCTTTTCTTAAGCAGTTAGGATTTCTCACTTCAGGAGGTACCAAATCAAGACTATCAGAAGTTAGCAAGAAATCATGCTCAAAAGCCAAAAATAAAGTTGGAACAGTTGGAAAAAAATTAATGATGGTTTTATGGACAATGATGCAAATGAAAAAAAGACACAATAATTAAGCTCAAGGAAAATAAAAAACACAAGAAAGGAAATACAATCACAGTATATTATCTAGCTCTACAATAAACAATGTTTATGTAGGTATAATCAGGTATATATAAACACTGACAACTAATTTAACCAAAAATTGTGATATAACTCTATGGAAAAGATGAAGAGTTACATAATAGCACAAATTACTAACTTTTATTAGCAAAAGTCTAAAAGAGATTATTTATAAATTAGCAGTTTTTGCATATTACTTTAAAACTAATAGAAAAGTATAAGAAGAAACAGCTAAAATATTTCAAAGTATTGACTTAGAATGTGATTGGAAAGGTAGAATCTTTTAGTTCTACTCAGTGTTTAAGTTTTGTATATGTATATACTGATCACACATTTTGAAAGTAAAGGCTATTTTCTTAAATTTGAAAATTAAGTCTTTCACAAGAAGGCAAGTTAAATATATGTAATCAACTCTATTCTTTCCTGAAAGTACACTAAACAACAGAGAAAAGATTTAGAAAGGCATGGAAATCTCCCAGAAAGAAGAAAGAAAAACATAAAGAACCACAGACCAATAAAGAAAAATTTAACCCAAGAATTCCAGATTCCAAATAAGATTCTAGACAGAAGAGAGAAAATAGAAAAATCATCAAATAAATAATCTAAGAAATTTCCTCAAGCTGAAGAACATGAGTTTTTATATTGAAAGAGTCAATGTCCAGCAAAACAAGGCAGATTACACCCCAACTAGAGCACATGAATGTGAAATTTCAGAACAACAGGGACAAAGAGAAGATCCTGCAAGCTTCTTGGAAGATAAAGGAAGTTATGTACAATGGGATGAACAGTCAAAATGGTGTCTGACTAGTCTTCTCAACGTTAACAAAAGAAGTTAAAGGCAAAAAGCAATGCCTTCAAAATTCTAAAGGAAACTGGGTATTATACCCAGTCAATTGATTAACTGAGAGTGTAGCATAAAGATTTATGACATGCAAAAGATCAGCAATCTATTGTAAAATATATTCACATAAAACAAGAAAACCAAAAAATGACATGAAGCTAGGAAACAGGAAATCACCCACACAAACAAGAGACAAAGGGACCCCTCAGGTTTATGGCGAAGAGAGATTCCAAGACAATAGTTGTGCAGAAGACCTAGTAAGCAACCACTGCAAAATGGATCCATTTAAAAGGCTCCAGAAGAGAGGTGTGGTAGTTAAGTTTGTGTGCCAATTTGGCTGGGCCTGGTTGAGTGACTGGGCAGCTGAATGTAGTTATTCCCCATGATGAGACTGGCAATCAACTTCATGATGGGATCTACCATAATCAATTGAGTAGCTGCTTCCCATACATAAGCAGCAGCTTTGGGAATGGTCTCTAGCTTATGGCACACTTGAACCCCGCAGGTAGCCATGTCCTTGTTCAGCAGCCTGCCATGCTTTGCCGACCTTGGGACTTTCAATGGACTTAAATTAATGGCCTGCCATGTGGTTTGGTAACATCGGAACTGTGCCTTTTACTTGTCAGCCTTGGGTTTGTCAGTCTCAGCAGTCAACAGCTGTCTGAGTTAAGAAAAGCTTCTAACTCCAGTGGGCTGGGAGCAGGAGGCAGAGCTGAAGCCCAAGGTTGAGAAGCTTTCACCAAGCCCCTAGAGCCTGGCACTTTGAACTTGGACATAAAGCCTCCAAATTGTAAGAATAAACTCCCGTTTGCTAAAGTCATCCCATTTGTGGTATATTCCTGTCAGAGTGGCACGAGGTAACCAGAACAATAGGCCTGATGTGAATCGGTTTCAACTCAATGGCAGTGAGTTTGCTTTGGCTTTTGGGTGTATATTTTTGGTATATATTAACATCTCTCACATTGGTTATTAAACTATGCATGTGCAAAGACCTTGTAAAGTATAATGTATTAAGGAATTAACAATTATAAGGTATTAAAACCAGTGCTGTCCAGTCGATTCCAACTCATAGCGACTCTACAGAACAGAGTAGAACTGCTCGTAGGGCTTCCAAGACTACACATTTTGACAGAAGCAGGCTGTCCCATCCTTCTCCTGCACAGTAGCTGGTGGGTTCCAACCACCAACCTTTCAGTTAGCAGCTGAGGACTTAACCACCTATTGCCCCATCTGACTAACCATCCACTAAGGTAGGATCTATATTTGAATCAGTTCTTCATTTCCATAAAATTAGACTGTACATTAAATAAATAAATAAATAACTGAGGATTGAGTTCATGTAAATATTATTAGTTAATAAGATTACTTAACTTTCTATAATGATTACCATGGACATTTGTTTTTAGTTCAATTAAAACCAGACTTTCTCTGAATTGCTAACTATAATCTGAAGTAAGGTAATTGAAAGGTTCCATTTACCAGATCATATTAAAAGTTATTCTGAGCTTATTGGTTTTATAAAGCAAATCAATATAAAGGCATTCAGTTGATTTCTAAAATGTTAATTATACCACGTGACTTTAGATTTATATAATTACACTTTTATAGCAGTCTGAGCATAAAAGATATTTCAAGAGGTTTTTAACTCTTACCTGCAGCACAGCAGCAAATAAGAATACTATTATGAAGATTACCGTTAAAGAAGTATGACCACTTTTCATCAAATGAATAGTGTAGAGGAAAATTAAATGTCCAGGAATCACTAAAAGCAGCAGAACTTGGGCAGACTTATTATTTACTCCTGTAATATAAAATGTAAAAGTCATTAAAACAACATTTTAATTTAGCTAATAGTAAGTCACAGTTTATTAAAATTTGAGGATTATATTCTAATTACTATACTATATGGGAGCCCTGGTGGCACAGTGCCTAAGGCATTTGACTGCAAACCAGAAGGCTGGTGGTTTAAACCCATCAGCTACTCTTTGGAAAGAAGACTGGGCAATCTACTTTCACAGAGATATTGCCTCAGAAACCCAAGGAAGGGTTATGTTACATAACATAAACTAAAAAAAAAAACAAAACAAAAAAAAAACCCACCACCATTGAGTGGGATCCGACTCATAGTAACCCTTCCTTGGGTTTCTGAGGCAGTATCTCTGTGAAAGTAGATTGCCCAGTCGTCTTTCCAAAGAGTAGCTGATAGGTTTGAACCGTCAGCCTCTGGTTTGCAGTCAAATGCCTTAGGCACTGTGCCCCCAGAGCTCCTATACTACACAGCATGACAAAAAGTTCAACTGATAGAAATACATGTCAACTATGTAAAATTCACTGAATTCTTTGAAATTCCCAATATATGTTATATAATTAAATGAAAGGTGCTCGGTAAAAATTTGCTACGAAGATCACTTGTCAGATTTTAATATCCATCTTAAAAACAGAGGGAAGACAAAAGAGAATATATAAAGTTCTTAAAGTGTTAGAATGCTTCAATTGTATTTATTCCTTTAGAGTTCTATAGCTGATAGAAGAAGGCTGGGAATCTTCATTCAAAAACCAATAATCACTTTTACTTTCATCAGGAAAAAAGTGACAAGAATTTTGGGCTTTAGAAATTATGGTCTTAGTTTTTTGAAATCACATGCCTGGTTGATATGAACAATGCAATGTTCTTTATAACTAAGGCTACGCCCATTATCCTGTTTGGCATTGAATGCCTGCATTGAGAAAGGCCTGCAGGATTACTATATGAAAGGCATTATGTCTACCTCCTTAAATTACTTAGCAATGCTTTCTCATGTGCATAAAGTTCTTTCTTGATCCATAAAAAAGATATCTCAGAGAAAGGGATAAAAGGGGAAAAGTATACACATTTTCTCAGCAACTGCAGAATTAATTCAAATGACTTTTTGTTCTCTGAGATCAGCCTTCAGAAACAGAAAAACTGTGTAATACACATCCCAAAAAATATGTATTCAACAAATGCTGCCTACTTACAATCTCAGAGTAATAATTTCTGACAGAAAATATGCAAAAATTTAAAAGCACATACCTGGACCAAAGAAAGTTCTAAACGGGTAGTAACCACCTTTGGGCTCATCAGGCAGTTCTCCTGGAATGCTGTGTAAATGGAGGTAGGTAGAAATCCTGCTAGCCTGAATGGCCACCAAATTGCCACCAATACCTGAAGCAGAAAGAAAGCCAAAGTGGTTATTCTCCTATTTGAAACAGCTTGCATGTATTCAACCAAAGCAACTCTCTTTAGGTCACAGCCTGGGCCAAGAAAATAAAATAAACGTTTCTTCTGAAATGCTGATTTACTTAATGTTAAAGTAGATA